ATATATATGAATTAAATAACTAGCATATATATATATATATATATATATATATATATATATATATATATATATATATATATCAGGAATATATTATCTAAAATATTATTTTAAACACACTTTATCTTATTAATCAAAATTTATTACAAATTTTATCACAAAATTATGTTTGATAAACTTTTCTATAAACTATAATTTTTGATAAATTTCTATTAATAATTGTGTGAAATAAAAAAGTATTTTATTAAATGTGTTGTTAACGTCTAAAAACAAACCTTATAAATTTAGTTGAGTAAAGAACATTGGTCTAGAAATGCAAATGCTTAATTACTACTATCATTTATGTAACCTTCAAGATTTAAGACGCACACTGCCGTACGTATTTGAAGATATGTACTTTCCCAATGCAATACGTACCTTAATGTTTTTTTTTAAATAAATAATTTGAAGTCTGAATATTATGACATTGAGATTCTGTTGGTAGTAAACATGGCTACCCTTAAACGCGGATTTCATAGATTAAATAGGAACTGATCAGGGGCCTTAACTAACCTTACTCTCTTTAATTAATTTTGGTTTAAATTAATTTTTCATTTGTCTCTTTTATCGGTGAACTAGTTTCTTGTCAGGTGCCAATATTTATCTATTTCTTCATGACCTTCGTACAGTTCATACTAGCTACTTCCCATGGCAGCTTCTGTATCTAAATTAATGTTTGATCAACCAAGGTCTCAGTTTATGGGAAATGATATTTTGTTTCTTCTGTTTATTTAATAGTTTTTTGTTTCTTCTGTTTATTTGATAGTTGTGTATAGTACGTTGTTACAACAGAGAAATAATATTATATTATATTTTAGTAAAAGTAAAGTTTTAATTAACTTCATATTCCCTGTTACATGCCCACATTTAACGGCTTCCCGAATATTTACATTTATAATCCCAAATACTATTTCATTTTTCTCATTTAATATTATAGGAAAGAAAATGAAAACCAAATAAAAAAAAGTGTACTAGTTCTGTGTGTATGTCCCTCCGTACTAGACTAGTAAACATGTTTTTAGTAAATAGGTATCAATTAATTTAATTACAATTTGAAGCATCCTTTAAATTTAATCTATACAACTCATAGAAGTATTGATGTTCCTTATGGTATGTTGTTTTTGACCTATTTTTGTGAGTGTAAATTAGTTTTATTCATCCAAAACAATCCAAATTAAATAACCTGATTCTAGAAACTCATACCCACTAGCTTATAAGTAAATTAAATAACTACTTATAAACTGAAAATAATTACTTATCAAAATAAAGAAGCATCTTAATTGTAATGAATAATTATAAAAGTGTCTCCAGATGACATTTTATCCTTTTCTAAAACTTTAGTACTACAGTACACAACTAATTTTAATTTGAGCATTGTGTTGTTAACTTCAATATTTTAAAAATCAAAATAAAATTGCAAGTACATTCCATTATCAACTTTAAAATTCCATCTATAAAAATTATTTTATCTTCTAAGGTCACAGTTAATTTGATAATTAATTTTCTAAACTAACTACTCCGTGTTATTCATTTGTTAACAATTACTGTGAGAGAAAATAATTATTGCACTGAAATAGACTCAAATGTCATGCAGTTATTTTTTAAGTGAGGAAAGTGTATATCTTAAAATAAGAGAAAAGAAGAGTGTAATCTAAGCATCTTTCAATAAGAGAGAGACGTAATTAATTTGCTCTTATTTAAACAGACTGCATTTTTTTCCCCTTCTAGTTATGCACACACATTAATTAGCATTTAAATTTTCAACAAACATAATTTAATTAATGTAAGACATGTTATAGTGGGATCGAATGGAACATGGCTGTACTACTAATCATAACTCATTCTTATTATATGCTATCCAAAATGAATTAATGGATCAAAACTATTTTTCATTTTAAAGTTTTGAATTCAGTTATCATAAACTTGCCCTATTATGATAATAACAACAACATATATATGGAAAAACAAAATCGCTTATTAGTCATATGGATTTAATTTTCCTTAAAAAACTAAAATAAAATTGAAAGATGAAGCAAATAAGAAATTAAGGATTATTTAGTTAATATAAGGATTATATCCATAACCATACTTATCAAAGTTTACTATTAGTTCTTAAAGCCACACAAACCTACACGCAAGTTAACTACATATACAAGGAATCCAACCCCACCATGTGAGAATCCAAACCCCAAAAGCTTGAAATCACATTTTTTAAAGGGCAGTTTGGTCAATATGAATCCACACAGTTCCATAATTATTAACTACAACATCATCATCGTCACCCACCATATTAATTATTAAATCATCCTTTGCATTACAAGTACGGTTGTTGCTATATATACACAACTTCTCCTCCACCCCTTCCCTTGTTCAAACATTCAAAGCTTAAGTCATAGAAATAACATACACACACATCCCTGTTTTTTTTCTGATCGGGATCCAAACCCTAGATCAGTTTTTCCTACTTGTATTCATAGAGCAAAAATGGGAAACAGCTTAAGGTGTTGTTTGGCTTGTGTTCTTCCATGTGGAGCTCTAGACTTGATCCGAATAGTCCATTTGAATGGCTACGTGGAAGAGATTACACGTCCAATCACAGCCGGAGAGGTTCTCAAAGCAAACCCTAACCATGTTCTAAGCAAACCAAGCTCTCAAGGTGTCGTTCGCCGGATTTTGATCCTCTCGCCGGAGACCGAGCTCAAGAGGGGCAGCATATACTTCCTAATCCCGGAGTCTTCGTTGCCGGCGGAGAAGAAACGACACGGCCGAAAGGGAATCAACGGTGGTGGTGATGACAATAACAGTAGTATCAAGAAGAAAACATCAACAATGAAAAGCAACAAGGGTTGTGATGATGATGGTTATTCTTCACACCAAGGGTATCTCAAAGTCACTAAAGAGAAGAAATCATCGAGCCGAGATCGCCGGAAAGGCCGCATCGGAATATGGAGGCCTCATTTAGAGAGCATATCGGAAGACTAGTCGGTTTTTGTGTCGCCGGCACCGGTGACCGGAATTCTGCATGGTCGGAGAAAAAAAGAAAAAAATGGTTCAATTGTTGAAATATAGAAACAAAAGGCCTTTTTTTCCCCCTTGTTTTATAAATGTACGTGGGAATTTGATTTTGTGGATAAAAAAGTTTACCTTGCTTTCCAAATATTGTCATTCTGAGTTGAATTTGATTAAATCTTTTAATCTGTTTGGTTTAAACAATAAGGTAAAGAAAAGAAAGAAAAGTTACCAAGAGTGAAGATTTCAAGTTTGTACCAAGTAATTTCCAACGTTAAGTTCTTGCAAACACTACTACCGGCCACCATTTTCTTTCCGTTTGTTATTTGTGTGTATGAGAATGGAGCAAAATGAGTGTTTAATTTTATTTTGTACCCCACAATCGGAACCCAAGCTTCTATCTATTTGTCTTAAATGACTTGTCCAAATGAAACTTTTAATATAACAGTAGCTAGTTTGGTTTAATTTCTAAGCAAAATAGTTGTGGCATCCAACTATAATGATTGATCTAAAACAGTTTTGAATATAACCCATTTTCCAACGATTAAACCAAGTTTAATTTTGGATATTTAAGTGGAACACATGCATGTTAGGCACATATATGTCTACTAAAGGAATCTATTTATTATAGAAACCGAAACTTAAAAAAAAGTCATAAGCTGACATTATTATTTCAATTATATATAACCAATATTGTTTGTTGGCCTAGAGTGTTATTCAAACTAAATTAAGGTGATGAACAGCTGTAACTATATATATTATTGCAACAGTCTAAGAACCAATAATTAGAAAATATACAAGTGCATGTTTTTAGTTATTGTCTAGAAGTCAAGGTAAAACTTGAGAATATAAAATTAAATAAGCTAGTTTTTTAGGCATCAGGGAGGGAATTTCGGTTAACAACCATATTAATTTTTTATAGCTAAAGTATAGATTATGTTCCAATGATGATTGCAAGTCTACATTAATTTGCCTCATCCCCGACCTTATTTTTCTTTCTGTGTCAACATTATGTGTTATTTCATGCAATGCCAGTGGAATGAGTTGGTTATATTTATATAATTTATATTTTATTTTAAAATTGGTTATGATTATAATTTTTTTTTAGAATCTATTCAAACTATTTTTTTTAAATCATTAGAAATCTGATTTTTATATTTTAATTTTATTCCAATTTTTTTTAAAAAGCACATTAAAATTTTTAGAAATTATTTTTTGAGAAAAAAAGTTGAAACAAATTATCCTATTAACTTTTTTTGTTAGATATATTATATTTCAAGCTTCAATTAAAATACATAAAAAAAAAAAAAAAAATTTGCACTGTTTAATGATTTTTAATTGATCATGATTTACACTTACAGAAATCTAAACTCATATTTCAAATGTGTGTTTACATCTATAAAAAACACTACCTCATTTAGTAACACTTGTGAATCATAAATCATTAACGAGTGTACATATATCAATGACTAATCGAGTGATAAAAATAAATATTTATAGTGTATTTGAACTTTTATTTGGAAAGGGCAAAGGGACATTTATTTTAAAGTTTCCTGTTACATATTTTTCTGTTCAGTTTCTTAAGAATGTGTGCGATCAACAACACAAACACATACTTTCGTTAAGGTTTTGATCAACCGTTTTAAGTTTCAATTAGCACAGGTTAACTTTTTGATCGTAGTCTTTTATAGATCCACTTATTTAGATTTCGGTATTTATGCTAACAATAGAAGAGGTTAAGTGGCGATATTTAGCTATAAATCAGAAGGAAACATTTGGCAAGAAAAAGATAAACATATATCTATAGAGTAAAAAAAAAAAAAAAAAGGCGGGGCATGGTGGATGTATATTTGGAATAAGACTACATAATGTCTATTATTTGAAAATAAAAGTAAACGTGGGTAGCTTATCTTGTTGTCTTGCAAACACATAGTTCTCAAATAGCGACATTTCCACGCTACATTCATAAAGAAACAAAAGCAAAGAGCTGGCATATCTTCCTTAACTTATTTCCCATTAATTAATTACTCACTTCTTCACATGTCTCTCCCATGCTAATACTATTACACAATTCTTTGCACATCCTTTAGCAGTCCAACTCATACATATATTATTATACTAATTCATTTGGACCATTTATTGTATATATTTACCTACTTTGGCTTCACTCAACCACATTATATGCATGCTTGCACAAAAAAAATTTACATACCGTAACATATATATATATATATATATA